AAGTAATCAGTAAAGTAACGGGATTACTTTTTTGGGGAAGTAATCAGTAATTAGTTACTGATTACTTTTTTCAAGTAACTTGACCAACACTGAGCTTGACTGTGCAAAATATGTATTTCAAAGCCAAGTGGTACACATGCCACGCGCCAGTGCAGTTGAAAGTACACAATTGATTAAAACTGCTTATGTGGCTTGATTTAATATGGCTTGGTATAAATCAGAAAAGCAACGTGCATTTTTGAGAGAAGACTATTCTCACATATTTATGTTCAGAGCAGGAGAGATGAAAGAACAGCAGATCTTATGCAAATGTTAAGGACTAATACTATTCCTCCTCCTTCATCCTGCTTGGTAGCTCAGATCGCAACCTGATTCACCTAACCCTCTACTGTGTCCCTCTAGTCAAGAAGCAGCCTCTGACCACACGGATGGTGAGTATATGGTCATAGGATGCTTTTGTGGCCCTGCCAGGCCGCTCTGAGGTGAATGGTTGGCCAGTCCTCTGTGAGTCGTAGTGAGAGGACATTGATGGGAGCGTAAAATTGATCAGTCTACATAAATTTCTGCACCGACTCCATAATTCCAAAGGAACAACAACAAATCATGTGTAACAAAGGACATCAAAGCATTCCTTAAAAAGAAAACGAGGACCTTCAGAGCTGGCAGTATGGAGGAGAGAGAAGCTTAAAGTATCCTAAAGAAATCCATCAAGGAGGACATGGACAACTACAGGAGAAAACTGGAGTGGAAAATCCAGCAGACCAACATGAGGGCAGTCTGGAGTGGCATGAAGTTCATCATTGGTTTAAACTGTGGAATTAACCAATAGACTAAATCCGTTCTTTAATAGCACAAACCTATGCGCTTTAACTTTGGAATATTTAAAGCTCCTTAGTTTTTCTTATTTTTACTCTTTTTTTTAGGGAGACTTTACTTTTTATTTGAATATTTATATTTAACTTATATTAATGTCTGAAACAAGCCACACACACAAAAGTATTTGTGCTTCATTTTGCATTCTTTTCTTTTCTTTTGATACACTCAGTTACCTAACTAGTGTCAGAACCGATACCTCAGTGGAAAATAAGGACACAAAAACTAAAAAGCAGCCTAAGGACTTTTGGACTGCAACTGACTGTAGCAATGGGGTTTTGTAAAAAATAAATAAATAACAATAATATTTAAAATAATTAAAAAAAAATACGATATACTGTTCACTTTCAGTCTCTTTAGCATTAAGTGGTTCTTCGCTGTTTTGCTAGCTGCACTGAAATGGGAAAATCCAGCTACTGGCCATAATTTTAGGGTTTTTAGAGCATTTTCTAAATGAGGACTGTGTGGGGGAGAGCCTGTTTGAGTCAGGTGCACTGATAGTTCACCAGACAGACAAGCTGAAGTCCGACACTCTGATTTTTCCTCATCAGTTAGGGTGTAGAGAACAAATGGCGTGTAAATTAGCCTTTATACATGTAGTGTTTCATGTCTACTTTAAGAGTATGAGGAGATATTTAGAAGATTTTAATGCTCCAAGAACCAAGAAAAGCACTAAAATGTAAATATTCTGATTGGTAAAACACTTACCTGTAAATTATGGTATAGATTGTACTCTCCTGTTTCTTTACTGTTCTTTACAGACAGCTTTTCAGGGATTTCACACAATACAAATACCTATACATCGCCTGCAGTGGGTTATGGAGAAGGCTTCAGCTGAACTGGTTTAATAAAAATGTCTGTAACTCAGATCCTTTGGGGACAAAAAAATCTCCAAACAAAAAGTCTGGTTTCACTAATAAACTAGAGTTGGTGTGTCAGACAGGTTTGACTTCAGGTTGCTTTAGTGGGAGTCTGAGCTTTGCTGTGAAGCTGCTCTGAGAGGATTTAGTGTGGGATAACACCAGGTAGCTGATAGCCTATTACAGTATAATCACTGCAGGTTTTTGCTCATTTGCAATCCGTGCCAGCCTGTGAGCAACTAGAGTGTATCAATGAAAGATTCATTGAAGGCAGTACAAACACAACTAGTGATCTGGATTAAATATTCATTGAGGAGATGTTAGTCGGGATCCTATGGAGCTTTAACACTTGACTCTTTCAGTGCATGTCACTATTGCTGGAATAAAACATGGCTCATTATAGCATCGAGCTGCAGCCGAGGAGGTTTTATGGTTTGGAGAAATTCAACCATATATCCTCATCTGCTGCTGCTGCTGCTGCTGCTGCTGAGCTTGTTTTTCTTACGGAACTCATTGCAGATTTAACAGCCTCCTCTCTTGAAGAAGGTAAAAGAAAGGGCACAAGGCATTTCCTGAGTGCATCCCCGGTGAGTTTGAAAAATGAATTAGGGCCTGCAGCCAGAGGTTTCCACCGCTGTTGCATCCAGTAACACCCTGGGTTATTTTTAGCACCCCGCCGTCTTGTCAGACTGGAGGAGAGAAGAAACTCCCCCCC